AGATTGGGCCAGAGAAATGTTTGTTAAATCTGTTTTCCACGCAGCAGCGCATCAGATTCCAGCATAGTGAAAGTGCGCTAGTTGTTTAAAAATTAATACCTCGTCAGATGGCGTTTATTACCTTTTAATACTTTTTAATGGCTTTAATTTTTGCTTATTTGATTTACTACCTTTTAATACTTTTTACAACCCGCAGATACCCTGATGACATTTAAGACCAAAGCGATGCATTAACAGAAACATTCAAATGGTCCCAGAAATTTTAGCACAGAAACCTTTTATAGCTATCATTTTAGCTATTAAAGAATATTTAATTTTAATACAAGAACACAAATTATTTTAATGAAACAGTCATATCTATGAGACCTTCACATCAACTGCTGTGGACCACTTCCCACTGAGTGAAAAAAAAAATCGCTGATGATCAAGTCTCATTAAAAACACTCTTTCCATGTTTAAACTACAAGCAGTGGACATGACTGAACTTCTTTGTTTTGTAGCAGGTGAACAAGCCGCCATATGCTGGGGGCTGGAGCAGCAAAGAGGTTGAAAACATGGAAGTAAACTGTGCCATTTTTGCCTGCAGTTATCACAGGATTTGTAGTGTAGTGCATAAAAAGATGGGTAGCTAACTCAGCACTTCATGAAGACAGATTACATCAACCTCTGATTACTTTGCTTTACTCTATTTATGCAGCCAACGCTTCTCAGGAATGACTGACAGTAAAAAAAAATAAGRACTAAATAAAATTTAAGACTTTGAATGAAAATCTGGGTGTTTAAGGCTTTTTAGGCCTAAAATTTTGATTTTCAAATTTTAGACTTTTTAAGACCCTGCACGAACCCTGTAATATATTTTGTGTCACTCCTGGTTTGCCGTATGTTTACAACAACGTCAGCTTCTAACAAGTTATCTGGGGCAAATCAAAAGAAACCAAGGAATCGCTAACATCACCAGCTGACTCTCTATAGAACTTAAAGGTAACAGAGACCAAAGTAACTTGTTTGCAAAGACTTGCGCTCGTACACGGTTGTGGAAAACGAAGCAAGATTTTTTCAGCGGCTCGTTCAGGTGCTTGAACAAAAACTATAATATGTGCTCTTGATTAATGATCACACAAACCCCACCCACATAAATACAAGCAGATGGAGCTTAAATTCRTAAATTAAATATAACTGGTAAAGTAATTTACTTTGATTGCAACAGGGTCATCAGTGAGTGTAGATAACATTAAATAATTTGATTAATCATAAAATTAGCTTAAGTAATCACAGCAGAACCTGATCAATTGTCTTTTGTCTGATTGTTCAATGAATCAACAGAATAATTACTAAAATAATCATTAGCAGCAGTCCAATACTTGCAGCCCTACTTCACGCCATCACCAAATCAATTAGTCCAGATTATAATCGCACTTATACAAGGTTTAGAAARTATTTCCAACAACAACCAACCTTTGCTGTTCTCATCCTCTCCAGTCTCCTCCTCTTCTACGTCCTCCACATCCTCCATATCTGCTGGGTCCATTTCAGTTTGATCTTTGCTGTAATAAAGACACAAAAATATTCAGACAGATGGACAGCAGAAACCTATCATCCMACTATTTTTAACTTTTACTCAAGCATCCAGCAACTAGCAGAGTGAAAAAAGACTAAATGTCATTTTGGAAAGTCTGGTTAGAATTAATCTTTAATTTGCACAAAGTTGAAGTTCTGTCTCTCTCTTTAAATTAGGGTTGGGCATAATCGTATCGTGTGCGATTAATTGTCAGAAAAACATTAATCGATTATTTTTTGGCACTTGGCGATTAATACAATTAATGCAACCAGGCAGTGTCCACTCGGTGCTCCCCTCTGCTTCAGATATGATGAACATTAAAAAAAGTTCTGTAATTTATTTATCAATCAACACAATTTAAAATTTCATGTATAGCCTGAAGTCTGTGATTTTGACACTATTTGGAACAGATTTTTATGAAAAGAAAATCTTTCCCACTAAATTGGTCATGTGACCAGGACATAGGGGTGTCCAGGGACTCCAGGGGATTAATCGTCAAATTAATCGTTATCGGCTAAATACCACAATTAATCGTGATTAATTTTTTTGCCAATATTGCCCAACCCTACTTTAAATACAACATAACTAATTTGATTTCAGTTATGACGTTTGATACAATGCTTCAATTAGCAGTGCAGGAGAGTTTAACCCCATTATCCTGTCTGCAACACAGTGAGTGGAAGGTAGCAGAAAAATAAGTAAAAAAAAAAAAAAGATGTCATCCTCATATTAAAACATTCACTGAAACTCCATGAAATAGATAATCTCTGCTTGTCATGAGGTTCTTTAAAATGCTAAAGAGAGAAAATCTGACAGCTAGATCTCGAGATACTCCAAGTAAAAGTTGGGAAAATAATTCAGCGATGCATTGCAATTATTTTTTTTGCAATTCAGTATCAATTCAGAAAATCTTCTATATCTATTCAATCCCCTAGCCAGTTTGTGCTTCGGAACGATCCAGAACCTCCAATTGTTTCTGGCTGGTCGGTGATAATTGCGGGACACGTCTTTGTCAAAACAAACTTTAGGAGCAGAGACAAACTGGATAAATGTAAACTCCAGCTAAAGTGACCATAAAATAAAGAAACTGAACTGGCTGTAGCCTGACAACAGTCGGGGAGGAGGAGGACTTAACACTCCATTTTTAAAACAAGTATTTTTATGCTTTATTTTCAGATATTTTATTTATATAAAATGTAAATGTATACCATCTCTGGTTTTATTGGAGAAGAAAATAAATATCTAAAAATTAAAAAACACAGGGACTCTTTATGACCCCCGCACAGGAAGCTTAACAGGAGTCGTATTGTTTTTGTACAGTCCCCCCCACCAGTGATTTTTGGTCAACTTTAGCACAAAATCTGCTGCACCGATCAACAAGAAATTTGGCAGGGCTGTAGATGAGTCCAACTGCGCCAGCCAACGGTTTTACGATACACCCCATATTTGAGGAGGGGGCTCCTTTCAAAGAGGGGGTGTCTGGACATGCAAAAATGCTTATAACTCAGAAACTGTTCAACATTGAAGCTTCAGATTTCTTTTGTTGTTTATCTCTGATGAAGCTCTATCCATCAGGCCCATCGATCAGTGCCCCCCACCCCACCGGACCCCCAATTTATCTGAAAAAGGGGTGTCAGGACACGCAAAAATGGTTACTGCTCAAAAACTATTAAACATAGGAGCTTAAGATTTTCATTGGTGGCTCAGCTCTGRTGACGGGCTATCCATCAGGTCAACAAATGCCGCCGCCTCCCCAAAAAAAGACCCCCACCCAAACCACTACAATTTTGGGATGCACCTAGTAGAATGACATTAATTAGGAATACAGACTTGTGAGTTCTGGTGCATTTCTGCGTGCGGGGGGTCATTATGTTACCGCTATGAGGCATCTAGTTAGGAAAYTAATAGAAGTATTTAAAGCAACATTAAATCAAAATCAAATCATGACCCAAAGAATTCTAATTGAATTGTGAGGTTAACAATACCCAGCCCTAACTCCAAACATGTGACATTTAGTAAAAAGCGTTTTGAGCCTGCTGCACTTCTTTTTTCCAGCCATGCTAAAACCAGTGGACACAGCTGCTGTGCTCCACAGTGAGGGACCCAAACCCAGAGGGCAGAGTCCTTTTCATCTGCAGCAGACAATACTTACTTGTCAATATCTGCCATCTTAGCCGAGTCTCAGATGATGCTGTGGGGAAAAGACAAAAACGCTTGTTGAGTAGTGATCCAAAATCAAATTTCATCCAAGTGTTGATGGCATTACATCCACATATTTCATCCATCATAGGAATCAAAAGGAGATTGTATCTGTACAAAACGCAGTGTGCAGAATAGTGCTGTGCCAAACAATTATTTTCTAATCGATTAATCTAACTATTATTTTTTCGATTAATCG